AACTAGAAGGGGTAAAAGATATCTTTCTACCGTTTTGCCATTTTATTGCAATTTAGTTCAAAAACATGTTCTGCATTATTTTAATATTGATATTGATTATTTGAATTTACTTAGAATTTATTGAATATATATATTTATATAAATTTATTAAATTTATTCTTTGTGCTTGAACATGGTAAATGTTCATAAGTGTTCTATGTTTGCTTAAAAAAATGGAATTCTGTTTGTTAGGTTTGCTATTTAACTCTTATCTAAAGCTTGTAAGCTTTCCAAATTTTCTTATCTCTGCTATTTTTTATCTTCTTAACAGCACTTATCTAATTTTTTTCATTCCTTTTATTTCCAACTTTTCTGTGATTGTCTCTTGTAAACAGCATAGGTTGTATTAAAAAAAAAAAAATTCCAGAATGAGGATCTTTGCTAATAGGAGTGTTCAACTGGTTTATTTTTCATGGCATTAATAGTTAAATTTACATTTTTTTGTTTTTCTTGTGATTTCTCTTAACCATGTTTTCTTTCTGTAAGTTGCCCCTTTCCTGCCTTTATAAGTTTGATTCTCTTGTTTCTCCCTTTCATAGTTCATATTTTTAAGAGATCACACTTACATTTTTAATATCTATATTTAACAAATTGAGAACTAATTATAATCTCCATTCCTCTCTGGAAAAACAAACAAAAACAAAATAAAGCACCTGAGAGGGCTTTTTCTAAAAATTCCCATACCTCATTCTGTTATTTATCTAGAATTTTAATTTCCCCAGTTTTGTTCATTTCTTTTTTTGCAAAATTTGCTTAATTATAATATATATGAGGGTACTTCAAAAACTTTGAGGAAAAAAATAGAATTGAAAGATAGATGAATCCTTCCATGAACTTTTTGAATATCCCTCATCTATATATACAAATATATACTTATATTCACTATGCAAACCGTAAGTTTTCAGCTTTCGGTACAATGAAAAAATATACTATTGCCTTTATTTCTTTTAAACATATTATTTTAGTCTTTTTCAAATTGTTTTTTTTTTTTTTGTCTTTTTGTCTTTTTTCGTGACCGGCAATGGATTGCAACCCTCAGTGTCGCACCCGTACCGGACCGGGACCGGCAACGGGATCGCAACCCTCGGTGTTGCCCCCGCTCCTCGCTCAGCCAGTGAGCGGCCGGTCTGTATGTGGGATCCGAACCCTTGGCGGGAGCGCTGCCGCGCTTCCCAAGCGGCGCACTGTAGCAGTGCGCCACCGGGCCGGCCCTCAAATTGTTTTTTTTGTAATGCAAGTTTATTTAGGTATTCATTTGTCCATCTGTCACACCTGGTGGCTTTTCTGCCTTCATTCATTGCTGTAGCTTGTACTTTTTGACTGTCTTCCTATATTTACCAAGAGTTGCTTCTTGTGGAAGTGTCATGTGTCCTGGGTTCTGACAATTACTTGTTTATTCCTGATATGGCTCTATGAATGTCTCCAACATCCAGAGGACACACTTTTTACTTTAATTTTTAGTGTTCATATTTCTCAGCTACGGTTCTCACTTCACAAAGGCAGTGTGAAATGGGGACCCACACTCCCCCATAGCAAAGACTCCTGATTTTGCTTTCTTGTGTGTAAAACTATTTCCACTTGAGGTCCCAAGGGAGCAGCAGAGAAGAGGTTAGCTTTCCTAGCCAAGCCTAATTAGAATTTTTCTTGTCCCTCATTGCAGAATCTACACAGTGCTTCACAGCTCCAGAGATAAGTCCTGGATCTTTATCTGCCTTAACACCCTATCATTTAAGACCCTATCAGCTATGCATTAACCTGAATTTATGTGTGTGGGGGATGCATGTCAAAGGTGCAGGGGGTAATGGGCAAGAGGAGGTTTTCCTGCATCAGCTCAGACTACTACATTGTCTAGAAGCCTGCTAAATGATTAGAACAAAAACCATTTTATTAAAATTTAACAATGTAGATAGACAAATGCATGCTGATAGACTTTTAACGTTTTGTTTCCAACTAATCATTAGAGTTGCTCATGTGAATGGAAACAAATGGTTTCCATTATATTGATAAGTCAAAGTACATCAAAATTATCATGCTATTTCCATCATGAATGGTGTCGACATTCCACGTGGTGTCTTTTCAGGAAATACAGCTACAGTTCGAGAATGAATTCAGATGTGAATCTCAGATATGAATCTGAGGTAATGGTCGATTTTACACTCAGAGTTCTATTCTAGGTAATTGTACTTGTGTAAAATCTATCAACCAACCAAACAGCAAAAATATAGTAAATGCTATTTTACCTACAAATGGAAAATCTGTTCTAGGAATTTTTCATGGTGAACACATCCTGCCTTTTTTGTTCTCTTTCTAGCAAAGACTGAGATAATGAATAGCATTGGCCAAACTAGCAGGAGGGCTGTCTCTCAGCACAGGGAAGAGTAAGAAAACCTGAGAGTTTTTTCTTTCATTTTTGTAAAGAGTTTGAGACTATGCTAAGATATTCTAGAAACATAAAAGTTCTTTGTATTTTTTTTTTTAGTTATTTTTATTTTTCCTACTTAGGTATTATCTGTGCCTTACTTTTCTTTAATACTGTGTTCAGTCAAGGGATGACGGTACAAACACATAAATAAAATGTAAGAATACGTTGTTAAATTAATCTTTTTGAAATGAAGTAATATATATTTCTACTAAAAAGCTGTATAATTTGTTATTTGCAAAAAGTAAGACCAAAATTCCTTTTTCAGGCCTCCAACCTTTAAGTCTTCTACTAAGGCTAAGAGAAACCTCTAATTTTAGTGCCCCATTACCATTAGTAGAGGTCTTAGCCCGTTTTCTGTCATTTATAATGGAAAACTTGAAACTGGGCAATTTATAAAGAAATGGAATTTATTTCTTACAATTTTGGAAGCTGGGATGTCCATGGTCTAGGGGGTGCATCTGATGAAGGCCTTCTTCTTGGTGGGGGCTCTCTGCAGAATCCTGAGGTGGCCCAGGGAATCACACGGCAAGAGGGCAAGAGTGTTCTAACATGCTAGCTCAAGTCACTCTTCCTCTTCTTAAAAAGCCACCAGTTTCACTTTCATCATTACCCATTAATCGATTAATCCATGAATGGGTTATACCCTCATGATCCAATCACCTCCCAAAGGCCCCACTTCTCAACATTACCACGTTGGGGATTAAGCTTCAACATGAGTTTTGGAGGGGACATTCCAACTATAGCAGTAGGCATTTTTAATAAGTTTATAAATTAATTCTGTGAAATACAGAAAACTACATCTATTTATTATTATTAAAAAGATTTCGTTACATGTTCCTAGTTCTAGACTAGCAACCTTCAGGGGCTCCCCTCCCCCCCCCCCCCCCCCCCCCCCCCC